TTGATCACCAATAGAGAAGGTCGTAACACTTCCTGTAACAGTAGTCAGATTTCTGCACTAAATGTTAGTTTAATGAATTTATTTTAAACATTTATAATCTATACTATATTATACATTTTTTCGAATTAGGTGTCATTTTGCGGAAGTCCATGTCAGAGTTAATACATGGGCGTAGACTCGATAACGGTCGGAATTTGATCACCATTAGAAAAGATCGAAATGTCGTTACTTATAAAGATATAGAAGGTAATGGTAATAATAATAATATACATTTATTTATCAAGAAAACTAAAGCTTTATTAATTTTACCAAAATGCCGTCTACACAAAGTTAGTAATTCATTTTATGGTAATTGCGTAAGATTCTATAATAAACTGCCAGAATCTACGCTAAATCTGACAGAGAGGCAATTCAAACTTTATATTAAACAAATGTTATGTAAAAAAGCCTATTATAGGATAGATGAATTTATAGATGATAGCAATATATAGCAAGTATAAGTTTAATTGCGGACAACGTTATAATTTATTTTTCATACTGCTTTCTTGATATATGATAGCGTAGCGGCTTTTGTATTGATTGCCGCATGCATCCTCATGTAAAGTACGAATACTGTAACTACCATATAGTAATTTTTGTAGCTGTGACGTGGTCGAGTGGAATGAGTAGTCATGCTCACTAAAATGTCCAGACATGTGGCGGCGTGGTGGGCCGGGTCATTGGGCTCCCTAAAATATGGTCGAGCGCGGTGATGGCTGGCTCATCCGTCATACTCGTGAACGAGCTGCTTGTAGGAACTGATCTGCTCTTATAACTACGACTGATTTAATCTTATTGTGTTTTTATATTTGAGCCTAAATAAAGTAGTGCTGGTTGGTAGTTTGTATTCACACGTTTCGACTTGTAAAATGTGAACTTACAAGGATTGTTTAAAAGAGCAACACACAAGTTTCTTGCTTATTCTTCTTGTGATGAGACAGCTTTCCGAATAAGCGGTAGATTTAAAAAAATTTTGACTATTGAAAAGTGCTTAAATTAAGTTTGTTTGAATAAATGATTTTCTATTCTATTCTATTAAAAAAATTATAAAGGCGAAATCACCGTGACTATATAGCGAGATTGTATGGTAATACAAGTTCCCACGTTAGTTGGACCTGGATTTAATATTACTGGCAATAAAGAAGGAAAATATTTTCATTACCCTCGCAGGACATGACAGCTACGCATTAAATGAACCATTCCCAAAGATAAACATTGTCGTTCTAAACTTTTTAATATCCGAAGTGAATTGTTAAATGCTACTATGTTGCAATTTGTGATCACTATGTTTATGTTAATATAACTGCTTCTGTCTCGAATATACCGGATTTTTCCGGATTATATTTAAACGTTTATGCGATACAAAACATTTTATGTACAATATCTTATAAGTTTTCTTTTTTATTACTTCATTTTGACGGCCGCGGGGTCCAGCAGTTTCAAATGTTTGTACCGTGTGAAGAATTGAACTCGCGACGGTAGTAAAGCAGTGTGGTAAACCGCTACACCACCGAGGCCGATATACCGGACTTTTACGGAATATATTTAAACGTTTATATAATAAAAAACATTTTATGTATAATATCTTGTAAGTTTTCTTTCTTATTATTTTATTTTGATGGCCGCGAGGTCTAGCAGTTTAGCATACCGTTTCACTTCCATTGGTTTCCAAATGTTTTTACCGTAAGACGAATCGTAGCCGTGACAGAAATTAAGCGGTGTGCTAAACAGCTACATCACCGACGCCAATGATTGATTAAAATATAAAATTTCCTACATTTTTCCCCATTACAAATGCTATGTATATGCCAAAATTAATGACTTTAGGTTAAGCCTTTTTGGCGTTAAAGTGTAACAAACTCAGATTTATAATATTAGGATTCAGAATACATTACAGGTTTCCATTAAACCGCTAATATGGATATAGCGTGGCCAACTTTATTGGCTTATTTACGTGCACCCATTGCTTATGGAGACACGCCCAGAAACAGACCGAGTAAAAGCTCATCAGTCGCTGATGGGTTGTTTGATCAAATCTTGGAACATATGTCGATTCTTGTCTTCACTTGTTTATTATTTAAGTTTTCTTATATCTCCCAGTATATCAATTGTTATCGGAAGGACTTATGGAGCGGCTGAAGGTCAACTCTCGTCTGATGGATACGACTTTAGTCTGAGGGCACCGCTAGGTTGGGTTAGTGGGTTCGAACCTCTGCTCAGGCCATCGTAATTTCGATCCCCGTTTGAATTGAATCGATTGGGCTACTACTAATGTTACACATATATTATGTAGGTAATTACTTAGATCTACAGTCAACAGCGAAGAAGTACGAAGTCGCGCGCACAGCTAATAGCATATAATACATATAATCTATACATATAAATAAAATTGTAGTGTCTGTTTGTAATATTGAAATAACCGTTTTTTGCTACATGCAAGTGAATATATATATGGTATATACAACAAAATAACATTTTTTATAATTTTTGTCTATCTGTCTGTCGGTTTGTTTGTTCCGGCTAATCTCTGAAACGGTTAGGCCGATATTGCCGGGACTTTTTGGTAGGTAACTGATGTAATAAGGAGTAACTTAGGCTACTTATATTTTAGATTTTTTTTTATTTTAGAAAATTCAAGAATAAAAATAAATTCCACGCGGACGAAGTCGCGGGAACAGCTAGTACATAATAAACTTTGAACAAACGTTGGTATTAGAGACCAATATTCGTTTTCACATTAGTAGTAAGTGGTTTAGATATTGCGTGCATTAAGCGTTTTATTGCGATACAATTTCCGATAAAATTGTTCCCTCTTCTGTTGTTTTGTATTTAGCATTAAAATTATTATTGAAGAATTCGTTAACGATAATAATGTTTTTATAGAAAAACATAAAATCCATAGCACTTATAATATTATCTGATTACACTAAAGAGTGCGTAGCGATTTCAACTTTGATTATCGCATGCCTCTTATTTGTTATACTGTAAAATCTATTCAAAAGAGCAACACACAAGTTTCTTGCTCGTTCTTCCTGTGATGAATTTGCATTTCGAATGAGTGGTAGAATTAAAATATGACTATTCAAAAGCGCTTGAAATGAGTTTATTTGAATAAAGATTATTTCTATTTCTATTTCTGTTTCAACATTTTTTTATTATTACTGAAATAAGTCTAGTTCAGACTGATAATAAAATTTCATATATAGTTTATATCCTATGCTAAATTTTCCATTGTATCCTGTTCCCGCGACTTCGTCCTGGAATTTAACTTTATTTTTCTAAAATAAAAGTAACCCAAGTTACTCCTTATAACATCAGGTACCTGCCAAAAAAAGTCCCGTCAAAATCGGTCCAGCCATTTCAGAGATTAGCAGTAACAAACAGTCAGACTAAAATTGTAAAAAATGTTATTTTGGTGTACGTACCATGTTTATATTGATACGCATATTGTTGGATTATGAATCCTTATAAATTAATATATAAAAGAGAGAGTGGACTGTATTTATTGAAAAGAAAATAATTCATGGAAAAGGAAGTAAAAATACGATTTCGACCTGGAAGAACGTCTTCCACACTCCGAACACCCCAAAGTAAGCAATGTAACACCAAACTTACTCACCTTTGTTCAGGAACGTCCCGATGTGTAGTACTGTTTAGTGGCCACGCACTCTAGAGTGTATATTTTTATAAAAACAATTATATTGTGTTAAATAAATCATTAATTATCTTGTTTTATATAGATAAAAATACGGAGCGTCCTTTTAATTCCAGTTATTATTTTCAATTGTTTTATTATTCTTTTTTCGAAATTTAAGTGGCCACATGTTTTTATATGTGGCCAGTATTACCGAGCGCCCTTTGCTCCAAGTAAGCAAGCCGGTGATACAACCTACTTAGACTAAGGAGGTTAGGAATACAGAACACATATAGTAGAAAACGGTTATTTCAATATTACAAACAGACACTCCAATTTTATTTATATGTATAAATGATTATTTTAAATTACAAGCTACGTACCGACTAAATATAGTACAGAACAATGACGAGAATGTCCCCATAACCCGCGGGTCACTTCAGCCATGATTCACCGCCATGAGTCATGGCATTCCAGCTAGCTGCTGTGTAGCCACCTGATGCAATCATTTGGTGGGGGTGGCAGGAGGATCATTGACCTTTGTGTAACAATAATTTGCAATACAGTGTAACCATTATGCACGTTTATGTACTTTACACTTAATGGCAGGATAACAAACTGTTTTTATCTTGTAATCTGCAGTTATCTATGGTAATAAATCTATAGAGAAAATATATTTTATGAGACTTTTGTCCTGCGAGGTGAGTAAATTAATATTAGTAGCAAATATAATATATAATCGTATAGATTATATATTATATATATTGTAAATAAACTGGCTTTTAAAAAAAAATTCTATTGAGTTTCTTGCCAGTTCTTCTCAATTTATATACCGAACTTGAATCTATATACCGAACTGGACCGTAGGAAAAAAATTAAAAATATAATGTAAAAATTTGACGTTCATAAGCGGCTAAAATGTCCTACATGAATAAATGATTTTGAATTTGAATTTGATAACAATTTTCTAAGAAAACTATATAGCGGCTGTAATAGAACAGCGAACTGTGGTGACTTTGGACAAAGTCTATTAATACACATATGTGCCTACAATTAAGCCTAGATTACTACTAAAATCTAAAAGAAATATTACATTTAGTAATCTAGGCTTAATTGTAGGCACATATGTGTATTTGTCTTCAACTTGTCCATACAAGCGAAATAATATGTAGGAAATGGGAAACTTTGCCCACCTATGGGACAATATATAACACAATTTAATTTATAATAAAAATATCTTAAAATCCGACCTATCCTGTCTTAATGCTTATTGTGGTTTTGAAGATATATTAACAAATAATAAACAAGATATTAATTAGGATAATTATTTAAAATGTTAACTTTATTTTTAAACAATAAAAATTACATTTTTACAACACGGTTTGTATATTTGTCGATAACACGTCCACTCACATCAAGGTTGTTTTCTGTAATAAAAAAAAAATTAATTACACACCAGTGTAGTTAGTCATAGCTTAAAGCTGCAAGCATGTAAGTTAATTATTTATTTGCATTACAGATATATATATATATATACTAGCTGTCCCGGCAAACGTTGTTTTGCCTTAAAATAAAAAAAAAATTTTGGTGTGGACTACCCCTGACATTTAGGGGGATGAAAAATAGATGTTGGCCGATTCTCAGACCTACTCAATGCACTCACAAAATTTCATGAGAATCGGTCAAGCCGTTTCGTAGGAGTATGGGAACGAAAACTGTGACACGAGAATTTTATATATAAGATATATATATACATAACAATTAATGATAAAGTGATATTATCAGAAATATGGTGCAATTTTTTGTATCTATTTGAAATGAGAACCAAGAGCATAATGGTCTTGAAACTTGAAATGAAATAAAGTCCAAACAAAATTTTAAAACCTTACAAATTCAATATCATTGACATACTCCAATTAAAACTGCACTGCGCATAAAGGTATTGTTTCAAACAAATTGCCTGAAGCTGTATCGTCTACATACTGGAGCTCTACCTGCGAATTGGGTACAATTTCAAAACCAAATTGTAATTGACATTTAAAAAAGCCATACAAATGCGCCGGACTTCAAAGCTATGACTCACAAACGATTGAAACGTTGCGCCGAATAAAAATGTATCAAACAACAGTGACGATTTACCGACAGACAATCATTTTATAAACGTAACAGTCAATTTTGAACTTTACATTAATATAGAGAGGAATGATAATGAAATAGAAGATGATGTTGCAAGTATTTCGAAAAACACTGTGGGTGGTGTAGAATATAGAGGCGGTACGTTTGCAAACAACGAGGCGATTTCGAATAATAAAGCAAAAGGCGGTGCCAAATCCTATAGAATTATAGAAGCGGACACCGTAAAAGGTTCAATGGTAGCGGCAGTAAGTGACCTTTAGACGCTAGACAAAGAATTGCAGAGGGAAGTGTCCTGCTGTTTTGATGAATAGCCCAAGAATAACGTCTTCACTATTGACCGTTTGGTTTCTTTTAAAGATTATAGATTTAGGTAAGGGTTATCACCTCACTAAACTTTTTTTAATAAATAATTCGTTCTGCTTTATTTTCAATTAATCTTTTTTGATAATGTATTACATGAAGATATTAAAGACATGTTTTATTCAAATTATATGTACATACCCTTGTAGATATAATAATCTATTTGTTTGTATAACTATAACTCGACAGGTTCAGATAATTAAATTTGGATCATGAGCAAAATATTGTAACAGTATTGATGAAGATTGACGTAGGACAACTCAGTAACATGTAAAACTACAGCGGTAATCTTCCTAAAAATAAAAAATAGACAGAGAAAATAATTAATTAGCTTTCTTTAAAACCCAGAGTCCAACAGACAACAATGATAAATTAGTCAATGTGGTCAATATATTAAATTGGTTAAAAACTATTTAATTTCAGTTCATATCTTGTTAGTACATTGTATGAATATAATAAGAATATGACGACACCTTTTGACGGCTCCGGTGGTATAACGGTTTAGCTTACTCCTTTACTTTCGATGGTCGCGGGTTCATTTGCTATAGATCTGGGTGTTTTTTTATCTATATTGTAATATTCCTATTAATTATCTACTACCCATAATATAAGCTCTAAATTGGGACTAATTGATGCTGTGTAAATTGTCCAGGATTTATTTTATGAATCTTATAATGATTTAAACAAATTTAAAACCTTGTAATCCTGCCGGATTGATGAAGAGTGGGTGTCTGGGATTTTTACCCACTAAAAAACTATACGGTATACCGGTGTACATGTGACAACCCTATTTGTAAACCCAACAACCGATATTTCAACTCATTTACACTTTACAATGTATTTTGAGTTCTATATCGATCACAATGTACCATTTCATTATTTACAATCTTTTACAATGTGGACTACCATTTTACCGTCCGCCATTGTCTCTTAGTGCTTCTTTTAGTATTTTATAGACATAATTGGTTCCAGTTCTATTGTCCGATTGAAAAGCAGTTCAATCTGGGACTAATTTCTCTCAGTAGGGAACATTGTCGTCAAATTAACGATTTTTAGTTTGCATAATATTTTATATACAAGGTACTTAATTTTATTTTTAAATACTTTTGTTATTTAAAAATATAATTAAGTACCTTTTTGCTCAGTTCCGGAAATAGTTTCAATCAAGAAGAAATGACAATAAATTGTTTGTGATATTTCTGTTTACTATACGACATACTATATTAAAAAAACTATTTACTTTTCATTTCCTATATTTTCTAATATTGTAAAAGTCTATCTGTCGGTCTGTCTATTTGTTAGCTTTTTATGACTAAACGTCTGAAAGGATAATAATGAAATATGATGTGAAGGTAAATGGTATGACGAATTGTCCTGCAATTTTAAAAATATCATAAAATGCATAGGGATTAAATAAGGGATGAAAGTCTGTACTGATAACATCTCGGGTAACAGCTAGTATTATAAATGCCATAGTGTGTCTGTCTGTTGCCATTTAAGGACTAAACAGATTTAACTGAAATTTAAAAATTGGCGTAAATGAATTGTATCACGACGACGATTTGTATAAAATCATATTTTTTTATAGTACAGGGGACAAACTCACTTTATGACGCAAACTTTAGGATCCATGGACAGTAAGAAGCTGTTCAGGCTGTTCTCGCAGTTGGTGTAGGCCATGCCGACGCCGATCCCTCCGCCGATGTACATGGGCCACCTTCTGACGCCTTTTAGGAAGAAGCTGCCCATCATACTACCAATGAGAAGGCCGGCGGCTACCAAAGGAACACATATTTTAAGCATATCACTGATAATCCTAATCTTCATATGTAAGAAATAATAATAATATATCAGGACAATTTACACAGTGCCTTTTAGTCCCAAGCGGAGTCGAGCTTGTGCTATGGGTACTGATGACGTACTCTTGAAAACAAATTTTGTCTTCTATCTTAAATATTGATTACATTACATTCCAAAAATAACACACACTAGTGGTCAGTATATACCCCCTTATTGAATTTAAAAATAAATCTGTAGTCTATAAGTATGTACAAGCTCATTTGAAGTTCCTGTCAGTTCTTTTTGACTTGAAAGCACTCCAAACTGACAGTATATATGTCATATAATCCTTTATTCATGTAATAAAGATATTAAAATTAGATTTAATTTGATAACAATTAACTAGTAACATAAAACATTGTAATAAATTTATCACATGACAGCCTCCTAGCCTAGTGGGAGACTACCTTGAATTACACCCCACTGTACGTGGGATCCAATCTTGTCGACACCAAAGAAAGTGCTTTGTATGTCAATTGAAACTTCGGACTCTCCCGTCATTCCGGTCAAAAAATTATCCGAGAAAAGGTGATAGGCTGTATATCAATTTAAAGATCTAACTCTCCGGTCATCCCGGTCAAAAAATTATCCGACAAAGGGTGGTAGGCTCGGATCTACCAAGTTGAATTTAAAATATATCATCATTCCGTCATTCCGGTCAAAAAACTAATCGTAACGAGTGCGGTAGACTCGCCACTAACACGTTGAGTTTGAAATATATCAGCGAATTCTACAAATGTCAAGTGTTACGGTCACCAAAATATCGACAGTTGACAATGCCTCTGACTATCCCATCTAGGATAAGTGTCGTAATTGTATGTATTTATAAACTTACCAATTTTAATGCCAAAATCAACGAAACAAGCCGTGTACCTATCCTCGAAATCCCTATTATCCGGTTTAGTCATTTCCCACTCTACGTGCCGAACTGCGATCCACTTGTAAAATACATTGCCGATCGATAAATAAACACTTATCTCTAAAAAAAATAGTACAAACTATAGTCTTTTTTAATGCTAAAATTTCACAAAACCACAAAACAAATTTTGAACACTTCACAACTGATTGACTAGTAATGTCACGTTTAGGAATTTCATCTTTTTTTATTATTACCTGCCAGTTTTGCTAATCAACTTCGCAAATGAAGTTTTTAGTTATATAATTAATTCTTCTTGTACAATCTTCATTAATATTGATTAAGTTACAATCATTGCCTTGCTTTTATCCCATTATTTGTGGTCGGCACAGTATGTCTTCTTCCTCCACTGATCTCTATTTTTTTTTATTTATTGGGTTGTTTGGGCTATTGTCAGATGTTTGTAGCACTTGTAGCACTACGACCTACCTAGATCTATTGTGCTCGCCCTTTTTTAAAGTTCGCTACCTAGACCCGTCAGGGACAAGAATTGAAGGATATTCTTAGGAGCGATGGTTTTTATCTCCTCGGGAAAGAGTGTAAACTTTCCAAAGGAGATATTTCGTTTATGCATGAGTGGGCTACAACCACATAGGATGTGTAGGATGTGTAGTGAAATTACTGTTCGTTAGTCTCCTTTTAATCTTAAAATATTCGTGGAAGTCCAAGGAAGGTTTAAACGGTGATAAAATATGAGGAAATTGCTTGTAAAATAGTAATAACATTTTTTTTTACAGGATGCGCTCAGAAATGTATTACATAACTAAACTTCTAAAAACCTTTGACATATTTAATTTTGAGGCGGAACAGAGAGAGCTAGTAGTATATATATATACATATATAAAAGGATCTATCGACAGTAGTTTGAAACCAGCTAATTGAAGTGGAATTACGTTGAATGAGCTTATATGCTTTACGGAGAGCCGTAAGCTTATAGACAATTAATATAGCCAATTACAGTTTCAATCGAGATTGTTTGCTGATAATGCGAGTTGAGAGTCAAGTACATGTTACACTAATTATGTATTACATTGCCATCACACTTACTTGACATTTATTGTTGTTATATTTCGCCCAATTTACGTAATATCTTTTAAAATTATAGCCTATATGTTATTCGGATATATAAGCTATACTACTGTGAAGTTTCATCAAAATCTGTTCAGTAGTTTTTGCGTGAAAGAGTAACAAACATCTATTCATACTCGCAAACATTTGCGTTTATAATATTATATATTATTGTAGTAATATATAGAATTCACATGTCACAGTGTTTGTAACAAAACTGCTCTGAAACGACTTTACCGATTCTTATAAAACATTGTGTGTATCAGTAGGTCTAATAAAAGGATAGGATGTAAACAATTTTTCATAGCCCTAGTGATAAACAGACCACATTGGTTTTTCAGTTTATTTTTATTAGTTTTAGAACAAAATGTTTTAATTTATTTTATTCATGACTACCTACTCGCTCCGGCTTCGCACGGGTGTACATGTATTATATATATATATATAAACCTGCCTCTTCAATAACTACTAACTATCTATTTAAAAAATCCGTTTCAAAATCCGTTGCGTAGTGTTAAATATTTAACCATACATAGGGACAGACAGACAGCGACAGCGACTTTGTTTTATACTATGTAATGATTCATCATTGAAATGTATAATTACTATTTATTTACGACTGTCTAAATGGTTTTTTATTTATATGCTAATCATCACATCACGGATTAATTTGGTTTATTAACGGTGTTTCCATCACAGGACAGTGGATTCGAATTTCTATCATAGAGGCCATAGTCAGGTTATCTAAATATATTTATATATATAGTCACCTTTGAGTTATCTCAAAGGTGACTGACATAGTGATCTATCAACGCACAGCCCAAACCACTGGACGGATCGAGCTGAAATTTGGCATGCAGGTAGATGTTATGACGTAGGCATCCGCTAAGAAAGATTTTGATTAATTCTATCCCCAAGGGGATAAAATAGGGGATGAAATTTTATATGAAACTTCGTCAAATTTAAACCGATCGGGCTGAGACTTTGCTTGCATAAAGCTACTATGATGTAGCCATCCGATCAGAATTTTGATAAATTCCACCTCTAAGGGGATAAATTAATGCGAGCGAAGCCGCGAGCAAAAGCTATTAAAATATAAGACCGCGACGCATCTTTTATAAATTCATATAATAATAATGTTTTTTTTTAATTGTATAGTATCGACCAGACGCCTATCTTATGTTTTTGAGACGAACAGATTCAACTCTCTGTTGCTTGAAGCATTTTCATAGGCGTGAATTGTGATAGTAACACAATCTAAAAATATTATAAAACAAAATCCTCTGCCGTATCTGTCTGTATGTTTGTTATAATATAAAAACTACTGAACAGAAATTCATGCGTTTTACACCCATCAATAGAATATGTTTAACAAAGAAACGAATTTATAACTTTAAATGTATCTTTAAGAATTTCTAACATTATCAAAACATGTTAATACAAACTGCCAGTTATATTTTTATATGTATATCTATAACAAAGATATACAGAGATCTAATTAGATAGCCTCGGTGTTCTAGCGGTTCAGCACACGGCTTTACTTCCGTTGGTCACGGGTTCGATTCCTCGCACGGTATAAATATATCATCTGTATCAGTATCAGTTTATCCGTTTGCTATGTATAGTATGTACATATTTAATATGGTTGAGTGCAATGATGGCTGGCTCATCCGTCATACTCGTGAACGGGTGCTGCTTATGGGGACTGGTCTGTTCAGGTTGCGATCACTGATTAGATTTATTGTTTTTTTGTTTTCAATAGCATATGCTGGTGGTCACTCTATTCTCCCAAATTGGAATTTTAAATGAAATTGTATTACTGTAAATATGTACAACATTTAAAAAACAAATACGGGCTGAGTTTCTTGTCAGTTCTTCTCGTCTCGAAATCATTCCGAACTGACCGTAGATTTGACATATCATAAGAGCCTGTAATAGACCTACACGAATAAAGATATTTTGAATTTGAATTTGAATTTAAATTTGAATTTCCTAATGAGCGGTAGATTTAAAAAACTGAGTATGATTTTTCAAAAGTGCTTAAGTTTTTTAAGTAAAATAAAATCTATTCTATTCTTTTAACTTAATTGTAATTTAATTGAAGAGGCAAATACGTTAGCAAAGGGTGTATATATAACTATAATAAATAATAACATATAGTTAATATATACAAAATTATGAGCACTACTAATAACTATAGAATACTATAGTTATTTTTTGATCAAAGAAGCTTTGCTTTAATAAATATATTAAAGCAAAGCTTCTTTGATCAAAGCAACACAAATGAGCAATTTATTAACTGAATAACTCTACAATTGGACAAACCAGATAGACTTATTAACAGTCGAAATAAGCTATTCAGACACACGTCCAATTTCTACCAAATCATACTTAATTGATCCATTCTAAGCTTAATAGACAAAGGATTTAGCTAAACAAGCTACGAGCCTAATCATGGCGCACCGGAAACGCAATAGGGTGGAATGGTTTGTACGCAAATATCAATATACTAGTTATTATTCGTGTATTTGCTTGCATGGTGGCGTTGAGTAGAAATTTCGTTGAACTTTCGTGAAGTAAACTTACTTAGCTTTTAATATTTTTTTTAAATAAGGAGATGTATCTGTATGTTATATTTAGATTTCATGGTTAAATGGTTGATCGTATCTTAATTTATAATATCACTGGACAATTCACACAGCGCCATCTAGTACCAAGTTAAGCAGAGCTTGTGTTTAGGTACTAGACAATTGATAGAAATATATTTTTTTGTGTGAAAGTAATGATGTTTGTTACGCTTTCACGCAGAAACTACTAAACCGATCGTCATGAAATTTTGTACACATATTCTTGGTGGTATTAGAATGAACATAGGATACTTTTTACTTAGAAAAAACAAATATTTTTTTATAAAATACAAAATAATAAAATACCAACAATTTGCTACTTCAGCTCCACCTAGCAGCCAGTATTGAAGTTATGCAAGCGAAGCCGCGGGTAAAAGCTAGTATAATATACATAGAAAACACCCTGATCAATACAAATGATGATACTCTTGAATATAAATATTTGTACTGTGCTAGGTAATTCCTATATATAACCCGCGACCATCTATACTTATAAATAAAATTGGAGTGTCTGTTTGTAATAATTAAATATCATCGTTTTTACTACATGAATAGGAATATAAATACGGTACATACATCAAAATAACATTTTTTTCAATTTTTGTCTGTCTGCCTGTCTGTCTGTTTGTTCCGGCTAATCTCTGAAATGGATGGACCCATTTTGACGGGACTTTTATTGGCAAGTAGCTGATGTAATAAGGAGTAACTTAGCTACTATTATTTAAAAAAATAAAGTAATTTTGCAAAATTCTACGCGTACGAAGTTGCGCGTACAACTAGTAAGAAATAAAGTTGTTTAGTATATCTTATTTGTATAAAGACATAATTTGTGTTCATTAGTACCCATCTAAGGGGAATTATATATTAACGTAACAATTTATTTACCACTAGTCATTCCACTTTGACGGAATTAAACAGGAGACAGGGTTGCTACCGTTCATAATCCTATCTACATGTCTTATCAAAGCGGTTTGCGGTAACGAAGCAAAATTGATAACCCTAACTGATGCGCCATAGAGCATAAGGAATCCTGTTTATAATCTAGTCTGGTTTTAGGAACCTAGTTATTAATGCTCTACAAACATGAAGCCAACGAGGTTTTAGTAAATACTAGAAACGTAGATATTTTGTTATGCATATGTATCTACTACTAATATATGCATTTGCATTAAAAATGGGATAGTCTGTCCGTAAGTACAATGGACAAAACAGAAGTATAGTCACATATATATATACTTACAGACAAACTTATGTTATTTATTGTTGTTACCTTTTTGATAAATTCACGCAAGCTCACGAGTGGTCCTCGTAAACGAATGCTGCTTGTAGGGACGGTTTGCTCTTATAACTATGATTAATTTATTTAGTTACTTATGTAACTATTTATTTATTTATATCAACTTTGTTATTTTTGTATTCACATAAAATTCTTAAAACTTAAAACTCGATAAAATCCGCAACGA